CACCTTTCGTGGTCTGCTCCTCGCCAGGCTCGTCTGCGGGTGGTTTCCAGTCGACCCAGCTTCTTATCAGTTGCAAACCAACGAAGGTCTTTCCGGCCCCTGCGGCTGCCTGCGCAAAGCGAAGCGGCCGTGGGTCCTCAGAGTCCCTCCATTCCTGGATCAGCTGTTTCTGTTCCGGCTTCAGCTCACCGTGCGGGTTCTCGGCCAGCTCACTCAGAGCTCCCTGAAATCTCCTGTTGGACCGCCTCGCGAGATCGTCTTCTTGGCCGACTTGCAAGCAGCAGGATCCTCTTGTTATGCCCTTTTTTAATGCCGCGAAGGCCGCTTCCTCCGAGAAGGTGTCGCCCAGCAGCCACAGAACTCCGATCTCCGTGTTCAACCAGATCTCTCGACGCATGTCGTCCTCCTCGTTTGCATCCGGATCTTTCGTTTCGGGGTTCTCGGCAGTTCCTGCCGCAGCCGCGTCGTTGTTCCTTTGCGTTGGCTCCAATCCAAACGTCAGCTTGAATCTTCTTCTGTCGGGGGACACCTTCCGGATGATGCACATCTTCTTCGCGTTGAGCACTCGCAGCAGTCTGGCTTTGTTTCCGAGGCTGCTTTCGGCAGCGGGCCAGGAGTTCAGCTCACGAATGTCATCCAGGTTCAAGTACACGGCTGCCACGTGCGTGAGACTGGCAGGAGTTTCACCGAAAGCTTCCACAGTAACACACAGGTCGCTGTCGGTGCATCTGTCGACCAGCAGGGCGCACAGGGGTGATTGGTTCTGGAGGATGTTGCGCCAGACGAGCAGGGAAGCTTGGGTCGCGGCGAATGTGATCAGGGCATCCTTCTCCGTGCCGGTGATTTGCAGTGGAGGTGTCGGAAAGCTCCATGGGTTCAGCAGAAACGTTGCCCAAGACGAGTTAAGCGAGTCTCGATGCCACAGTCTGCAGTGTCGCAAGTCCATGCAGTCTTGCCGTTGCACGAGGGGACAGTCGGTGACTCTGCGTAGTCCAGCCTTAAGGAGGGCAGTTTCATGGACATTTTTCGCTCGTCTGTTCCCGTTTTGCTCCATCGAATCCTTCATGCTTTTTGCTGCAGCCGCACAGAACGATGCGAATGTTCTTGGGCACATTACCTCGCAGATGTAGTCCAACGGCACGAAGAGCTCTCTCTGCCAGCCCTGGGGAGACCCGGGGTGATCCATCGTGGGCACACGAGGTTGATTCCGGCTCAGACTCTCCTTCCACAGGCTGTGTAGGGGAGTTCTTGCGGTGCCGCCGTCTTGCAATAGCCAGTCCTGCACGTGCGTGCCCTCAACGAAGCTGCAGCCCACATACTTTCTGGTCTTGTCTTGCTTCTCATCCAGAGCGTCAAATTCGACCTTCCGGTATCGGACGCATCGGGCCGAAGCCTCGAACCGAAAAGAAGGACGCAGAGGAAAACATACTAAAGAACCAGCCACACAGCTGCAGACGACAAGGGAAAGAAATCCGCCCTGTTTCCTACGCCCGCTACTTCAAAGGCTGCGATTCTTGCCAATCGGACATACACCTACTCATTGAGACTTGCAATCCTGCTTCGGATACATCCTGCCGGGATCGTCATCAGACAAAGGAACGCTTCGATGCCCCACGTGCCGCGGCCTTGAAGCTAGAGCTTTGGCCTTGGCATGCATCCCCGCAGCTGCAAACAAGAGATTGGACTCCTCCGACTGCGATGTGCTCGCGGAAGAAGCCACGGGGATCCGTGCTGGCGACCGCCGAATGGACTCCGCTTCTTTCAGGCGAATGACTTCCGCTTCCTTGAAGTTGGCATGGGTCATAAGACTTCTCTCGGGAACCGGCAACGGCTCGAAGGTCATCTCCCTGAAAGCTTGCCTCTGCTCCTCGTTGTCAACCACACAGAAAGGTTCGCCCGCCGAAACCGAGTCTTCCTTGCGCCAGCAGACATAGGGCCTCTGGGAAAGTATTCGATCCATGGCTCCAGCGAATACATAGGTTCTTCCCAAGTCCAATTCTTGCGCCTGGGGACGGACTCCTGCTCGGAGCGACCCGCGACCGAACCTGTTTTGTTGGAGACCGGATCCGAAGACTTGTCGGCTGCAGCTGCTGTCGAGTCGGCCGCGAAATGAAGAAGAAGCTGAATCAAATCGGATATATCGAGCTTCATCTGCTTGTCCCAAAGCTTGAACCAAAAGGCAGCGGACTTTAGGGAACAGGCAGGGGCACTTAGGGAAAACTCCACCAAAAGTTTTAGGAGCAAAGATCCTTGAAGCCACTCAAACTGACGTGACCGCGTGCAACAGCTCGGACAGATGCCTTCTTTTTACAAAGGCGTGTGTTGGGTCTCTCTTGTCTCGGATTCCGCTCGACTCTGCCTACCGGCCAGAAGGAGAAGGCACCAGGTGGTGCTTACGACCATCACCTTTCGGTGAGCACCAGTGTCCCCCTTGCTGTGAGGAGCAAATCATGCCAGTGACACTTAGGAGAATGATTATGGACCGGGAAGAGACACAGGCATCCGGTCATTAGGGCGGAGAGGGCGGGCACCAAAAATTTTCTCGCGCCAGAATGGCCGCGACGGCACAAGGAGTTTCAGCAATCTCCAAAAGGAATGTCGCATCAACTGAGACAATGCAAGTGCAGTTCAAGAGAACCAAGCATGTGAACTTTCAAGAGAAAATCAAGTGCACGGCGTTTTTCCCCCAGCCACCCGCCCAGGTTCAAGCAGAGGGACAAACGAGTTGGGGGAACCCAAAATGCTTGTCCCAAAGCTTGAACCAAAAGGCAGCGGACTTTAGGGAACAGGCAGGGGCACTTAGGGAAAACTCCACCAAAAGTTTTAGGAGCAAAGATCCTTGAAGCCACTCAAACTGACGTGACCGCGTGCAACAGCTCGGACAGATGCCTTCTTTTTACAAAGGCGTGTGTTGGGTCTCTCTTGTCTCGGATTCCGCTCGACTCTGCCTACCGGCCAGAAGGAGAAGGCACCAGGTGGTGCTTACGACCATCACCTTTCGGTGAGCACCAGTGTCCCCTCCTTTAGGGGTGCTCGCCAGGGGGTGCCAAGGTTTCACCAAGATGTCTTCTCAAGAAGCTTCTGTCTCTTACTCGCTTTAGGCTCGCTCCTTTTGTGCAGCAAGCGGGCTGCCTTGTCCGCAAGGAATGAACTGTGACTTGCCTGGAGCTCTGAGAAGATGTCCAGAGGCAAATCACTGAAAACCAAGGGGACCCTCTTACTTAGATCAAAGTTATCAAACCGCGAGTTCGTAAGATCATCAGCATCTTGATTCTCTTCCCTGGGGCGCCACTCCAACTTGCAAATCCGGTTTGCGCGGCGCAACGTGACAGACACCTGCATGTGGACAGCCTGGACAGGCCACTTGTTGGAGATGCCTCGGGAAGTAATCGCAGGTGTGGCACGGTTGTCCGTGCCAGCACAAACCTGAAGCTTCAATGAATCCCTGCCGCTGGCAACACGCGTATGCCCAAAAGCAACAAGTCCGGCGTATGATGCAAGAAGCTCTGCAGCTGTAGAGGCCCACTCGCAAGACCCGTCTGGCTTGAAGAAAGACGGCAGCTCGGCAGGATGAACTTCAAGCGAGAACCATTTGGCCGACCGAGGGTCACTGCCAGACTCGAGTGACCACCCGCCTAAGACAATGCGACCTGATTCACATTTTGCGTCAGTGCGGAAGGCTTGACGGTACTGGCCGGGCCAGGACATGTGGACAGAGTCCAACCGCGCTCCCGCCTCAAACTGGCTCCGAAAGAACCTCAAGACAAGAACAACCATGTCTGGTGCCGTCGCGACGGTCCCTCTGCTGAGCACTGAGCTCCAAGCGTAAAGTGGTGCAAGGAAGGGCTTAAGCCAAGTGATCATCCGAGTGACGAAGTTGAGCCGTCCCACGAACTCCACAAGCTGCCTCCCAGAAGTCATCCAGTTGTTGGATTCCACCTGATCGACCCACTCGATGATCCAGCCCGCACGCTTTGCGGAGATCCCAGCTGACCACGTGTAGTAGCTAATGTGGTATCCAATGTAGTCAACTTCAACACCACCTTTAAACTTGTGAAAGGAGAAAGGCGTCCCTACAACCTCCAAAGCAAGAAACAAAACCCAAAGCGTCTCGTACTTCTCGCTTCCATACACGATGACATGGAGGTCATCAACGTATATGAGCATGTAGAATTTGTCAAGATGCAAAATGCGAAATGCCCACCTGCCGACTGCTCCGAAGAGGCGTGCCCAATGATAAGCCGCAGAACTAATTCCGAAAGTCCCTACGCAATTTAACCATAAGACCCTTACGATTTGTGGCACAAGCTGATTTGGATTTACAAATGTCGAATATCTAGTCGTCCTCTTAGGGACGTTCTATAAATGACTCAGAAAAGAATCAATCCAATATTCTGTGGCATAACACACTCACGACTTTTTCGCTCGAAAGCGTCAAACGGGGTTTCCAAGTGCATGCCGCACGCACAATGTGGCACACCGCCACAAGAAAGAAGCACTTCGCTTAGAGAGCACTCCGCTCGCCCCAGGGTTGGGTGGGTGGGAAAATAAATTTCGCAGTCTTGAGCTCTAACTCCGAGCCAAGACTTTGCAGCATAACCTTGTTCAAATCTCGTGCGGCATGTGAAACGTGAAACATATTTCAAGTAGTTGAAAATCCAAAATCAGCAATTTTTCTGTACTTCCAGAAAAACCAAAAGCGCCTACAAATCGTAAAGCGAAATCATGCAAGCATGAGTTGAAGCTTACGATTTGTGGCACAAGCTGATTTGGATTTACAAATGTCGAATATCTAGTCGTCCTCTTAGGGACGTTCTATAAATGACTCAGAAAAGAATCAATCCAATATTCTGTGGCATAACACACTCACGACTTTTTCGCTCGAAAGCGTCAAACGGGGTTTCCAAGTGCATGCCGCACGCACAATGTGGCACACCGCCACAAGAAAGAAGCACTTCGCTTAGAGAGCACTCCGCTCGCCCCGCTTGACCTGAGTGCTCTTAGACGAAGCGCTGAAGCACTGTACCCGTCAGAGGACAACAAGGATCATCGATCGCGCACTCCGGGAAGGCTCTCAAAAGGCCCTCCCATCGACCTCTTGATGGTCCATCAGAGATATTAGAGTGCGAAGGAACACGACTGAACCATTGCAAGGCAGGCAGTGAATCAGCTTTCTCGAGTGCACACAAGAGCTTTCTCCAGGTATCTTCTTTGGAGGATCCGCTTATGCAAGCTGCAAGCACCCCGCTGTGATCGACGAAATAAATGACCCTGGCACCGTCCAGGACGTTCGCCCAGCACGATCTGGCAATGATGACAGCGAACATCTCAACCTGTCCTATGAGGTGTCGCTTGCCCTTGGCATGCCAAGCTTCAAGCAACGTCTTCGGAACAAGCGAGCCAAAGGCCCTTACCTTCAAGCCTCCACTAAGCGAAGGAGCGAACATCACCCCCCCCACACCGGCGGGGTTTGCAGCATCCGGCTCAAAGCAGCCGTCAGTGAAGATCACGATAGGACTAGTCGCAGCTGAAGCTGAAACAGTTCTCGGAGCTCCGGACACAACGCGCTCCTTCAAGAGCAACAAAGCTTCAAGATGCTGAGCTGTGAGGTTGACACGCGCAGCAGAACACCTCTCAAGACTTCTGAGATCATGAATCGCCAACCTGCCCATTCTGCCAAGGATCTGTGCCTCGGCGAACTGAAGTCTGCCGAACAAAGAAGGCAACTCGCGAGGTGCGACGTGCCCTCTGGTGATAATCTCCTCAATGGCAGCGGCGATGGCCTGCGACCTCGATGGTTTGTTGCACACAGACACGCCCGACATATCTTCCGCCGACGTGTCTATGACAACTCCCAAAGTTTCCGAGCGCGTCGAAAAAGGCTTATCCTTATCATCAGCAATCCTAAACCCCAAAAGGCGCATCACTGAAGTAAAGGCTGCAGCCGTGCTGTTGCCAAGGAGGCTCGGCGTCACTACTGGATAGTCATCATAATAAAGCGCCGTCAAGATCTCCATCTCAAGCATAATCCTTCTCAGCAAAGCCGAAACTCTGTTGAAGTGAAGAACAGATCCACAGGCTCCGAAAGGAAGAGTGTTGCATATGTAGCCGGACGGCTCGGTCTGTGAAGGATGTCGAATGGTCACAATCGCCTTACTTTGTTCCTCCGGTGCGAGCGGAAGTTGTTTGTAAGCAGATTTAAGATCAAACGTTGTAGTGACAGGCCTGATCTTCTCCTTGTCGGTCCAATGGTCATGCAGCTTGCCTTTCAAGGTTTCGCCCGAGCTCAGATGCAAAGTGACATCGCCCCTAGCAGAGGCAGCCTGCATTATCTTGGTGCAAATCCAAACCACCTCGTCCAGAGCCCTAAGGGGAATCTTCTCATGGCAGCCAAAAGTAGCATTGAGTCCCGACTCGCTAAGATCATCGATCGGCCTCCACTTGTTTTGCCATACAGCGAACCTTCGGCACGGCATCCACTGGCCTTCAAAGCGCTCCTGGAGCTCAGAGAATGACAAAGGACCCTCGAGCCACCCTTTTCCTCCAGAAACACCGGTTTCGCCCAGCGTGATTTCGGCCAACTCCGCATCGTACTCCTGAGCCGGCTGCTCCCTCACCCGTGCCCAAAGCTGATGCTTCAAAACTTCGGCAGCGTCCCAAAATTGCTCCTCCGAAGATAAGGCAGGCTTGTGGTCTGGCTCAAAAACACCCGTAGGATCAGGAGCTCCTGACAACTTGAACCCTGCACATAGGTCGCGATGCAGGTGCTTGTCGGGCCAGTCAAGAGATTTTGCAATCTTGTCAAGAAGAAGCAGCTTCTTTCCTTGAAGAACCTTGCGTACCGAGGGATGAAGGGAGGCCTGGAGAGCGGCCTCATCTGAGCGAAGGTCCTTCGCCCACTGGTTCCACTTTTGCAGCAGGAGCAACCTGTTTCGCATGATGCATAAGGGACCTTTCGTCAATGTGTCAAAAAGCACACGAACAAGCTTGTCCGGAAGAGCTCTGGCGGCATCAAACGGATGCTGAAGTGCGACAGCCTGATACACAAATTGCACCGGCTCGCGATACACACCGAACACATACTCAGTATGGCGAGGCTTCTGCAAAGAGATGTTGGTCGCTTGCTGCGCGGATTCCTCAGTCGCCCCCCCTTCGGAAGCGGAAGAGCGCAGGAGGCGGGCGTGTTTGGGCACGCCGTTCCACGAATGTGTCAGCTGGTTCTTGGCATCCAAAGGTGGATGGCCCGCACACCGTAAGCGCTGCGTGTATGCAAACTCTGGCACAAGCGGTGGCAGCTTGGACGCCTTCGGCTGGTTTTGCGCCGCAGCGCGCACCTCGGGGAGACTAAGAGGGGAGGGGCCTAAACCCAAGGCAGCAACCTGAGTGGACAAGGCAGCAGCAAAACGATCGCAAAAGAGTTTGGCTGGCACGGCGTCGGCTCTGTCAGCCGCGGAAAGCGGGGACAGGTCACACAGGGTGTACACCAAACGAAGATGCTGGATCCTGTGTAGGTCAGACACCAGATACACCGGCGCCTCCGAAGTGACCTTGAGCAGGTCGGCGAAGGGAGGCAGCTCCCAAAGCCAGGAAGACATGGGATGCATAAGCGAGAACGGTACCTCAAGTTCACGAGCCCGAAGCAAAAAGGCCCCCAGCTGAATGAAAATGCGGTTGGCCGACTGTAGACGGGCCAGAGCCGAGGAGTCCTGACCTGGCACACCCCACGGGTGGGAAGCACTTCGAAGCGACGATTTTGCACGTGATCGTCGCGTCGTCCCAGAAGGGGGAGTTACATGCACATGAACAACGTGTCTGTTTTCAAGAACGGTCGTCAAGTACTCCCACGAGGCTGGCAGCGTGAGGTCGAGGCCGACAACATGCACATAAGGCTTAGTGCGATTCCCGTGAAAATCAACCGCCAAAGTGTCTATGTTTGCAGCTTTGACGGAGGCTGACAAAAGGCCTGACCCGGCGCAGAGTTGGATCACAAGAGGGGCACCACGGGAGCTCTTTGCCTTTGGAACCAAGGAGCTCGAAGACAGTCCTGAGAAGGTACTATGCGACCCAAGCTGACACAGAGAAGTCGCCGTATCCTGACAAGGTAGATTGAAACCCGCTCGTAGCAGCATCTCTGCAGCCTGGTCTGGAATCTCGGCGGGGGCTTTGACCACAAAACCAATGAGAACGATACGTGGGCCCTGAGTCCAAGGCAACGTAAGGTGCTTCTTATGCGGATCAAAGGCAAGAGTTAAGTCGCTGAAGTCGAGGTGTGAGCCCAGAAGAGAAGGATCGGTGGGGCACACAATGCTTCCGCTTGAATCCTGGACCCACAAACCCCCACCACTAAACCCCGAAATCTTAACCAAGCCGTTCAGATAGCCCAGTGCATTGTTTGCATCCAAATGCAAGGTCGTTCGCACGTTGCGAGTCAATGACAATGTTGTCACGGGAAGCCTCGGGTGGTATTCCTTGAAGACTTTTGCAAGGAATGCAGAAGTCACGGGAAACTGATGCATATGTTGTCGGCATCCGTGCACACCTCCATGCACGTACGCACCTGTGCTCCAGCTGAACTCGTCCTCAGAATTGTTCCCTCTTGCCGGAATCTCACTCTCCAGCAAATCGCACAAGGTCACAACATCCCTGAGATCTAAAGGCTTCTTAAGTGATGCGGCAGCAGAAAATTGCTCAGGATCTTTGCAAAACAAAGGCGCTGAAGCGACATGCTCAGCAGCGAAAATCGAAGATTCAGAATCCGACCCCTCGGCCGAATCAGCAACTTGTGCAATAGCACGGTCCCTTGACCGCGCTCGCTTGGACAAGCCCACTCCGAGCTGCCCACTACTCATTGCCGATGGCATCTCCGCCACCTCGTCTCGACCCACCTGGAGTCAAGACCCGGCCTTCTTCAGGGCCGCATACTGTGGGCAATCAAGTGCTGGATGCGCGCCCCCGCACTTCGGGACGGCGCATACGTGCAACCCCTTTGGGCAGCGACCTCCCTTCACTTGCTCAGAGCAAGTTTTCAAGCCGTAGCCAAAACATATTGGGTCGCCCCGATTGGTGCACGCCTTGCAGCCAACAAGCTCCTTGGGCATCCTCGGTGTGCTCTTGCCTGTGCCTGGGCTCTTGCCTTTCCGACCACCCTTTGAGGGGCGATCGTACGGGCTCCAGCGTGGCTTCGGAGGCGGCTCCACACGACCGCTAGGCTTAGGCAACGGCTGCATCACATGTGTGACCTCTGGCAAGTTGAAGACTTCTTCAAAGCAGTCGTCCAACGGGCGACCGACAGCGGTGGCCTGGACTCCATCGCGAGTCCTGTCCGCTAATTCCTGGAAGAATTTCTGGTCCGCCGCCTCCAATTGGGCAAACGACACTTGCGAATGCGTGTCGAGTTGGGCCGCCATCCTCGTCTCTATCAATTTTTCGGCCCACCTGCGATGCAAACGAAAGTCGAGCAAGTTCGACATTTCAAATGCAAGACCTCTTCTCAAGAGTGCGAACTGCAGCAAAATCTCCGAACTCGTGTCAGCTTTAATGTGATCGCCCTTAGCCTCAGCTTTCAAGCGCCCCTGGGCATCCACAGTGAGCATGTTGTCACGCTTCACCTCACTCGAGAGCTCCTGGGACTTGGAGGTGCACCGATCCCAAGACACATAGCGAAGGCGATTCCCTTCGTAGATGCCCACACACAAGTCCAGCAAAGCGTCGCTCGGCTCGTTCCGATCCTTGATATCGATCCCAGAAACAGATGCCTTGATTTTTCGGTACCTCTCTGCTCTCTCCGGCTGTGACAGACGTCTTGGCCCTGCCTCATCTGGCCTCTCGGCCATCGTCTTAAGCTCTTGAGTAGCCACGGCATAAGCTTCATGGAATAGCCTGCGCCAGGATGCTTTCTGGCCTGCGTCACTCTCCTTCCCGAGTGCTTCGTTGAGGACTTTAATGAGCTCGGCATCAGAAGCAGCACCGGGCGCGTAAGACGAAACGAATGCCACCTTAGCAAGTGTATTGATTCCGGCAGCCTTCAATTTGGTCACGGCCTCACTGCCTAGACCAACGGTCTCACATCGGTTGGTGAACACCGGCTCTGACTCCGTGTATGAAGCCATGGCTCACACAGTCCCTAGCTCTTGCACAGCTGTTGCCCAACCGGCTCACATGCACTGCCACTCCGGCCAGACCGCCCCATGGGCGCACGTTCAAAGACATCATCAAAGTGCCAAATTCAGCCCGCCAAGTGACTGCAACTTCCACAAGACAAAAGACTCCAGACGCACGCGCAGAACTGGTGGTGCTAGACGCAATACACACTTGAACTTGCAGGGCACTGCCACAGCATGACAGCATGGACTTGCAAGGCACATGCGCACGGAACTTTGGATTGTCCACGCCCTCTGCCCGCAGCACCTCACGCATTGACTGATTCCAGAAAGCTTCTGAAGCACTGCTTGCACCTTGGATACAAAACGGGTGGGTGTGCATCGCACACCTCATAGGCAGCCGTAATCTTTCTGCCACAAATGAAAGCGGTGGCCTGCTCCTCACGTGAAATGTGCAAAACTCGCGAGGTTTCGTTCCTAGCCATGACCGCCTCATCAGGAATTTTAGATTTATCTACACGACCGGCCCACGGGCCCAAAACACGTCCCTCAGCACCCTCATCATGGCGCGGGCACTCCTCATCCTCAGAAGAGGACGACGAGCAATCTGCGCCTGCATCGTCGCGAACTCCCGCAGCCTCCCTCTCCGCGGCCGTCATAAGGCCTCTGGTCTCATCAGGCCTGAAAGAACGATCACGGACCTCATCGACGAGCTCCTGCAAGACTCTTAAGGGATATGCCATGGCATCCCTGGCATAGATGATCTCCGTACCTATGCCAGCATCTTTTGTTGCGTGATAACCCAACAATGCAGTGACATCTCGAGCCACACCCTTCTTGTTTAGCCACGACAAGAGTGTGGCTTTGGCTGAGTGCGTCCCCAGCCCAAGCAAGTAGGGATCATCAGTGCCATCACTCAGCAGAGCACGCATCCACTGCCCAGAAGCCTGAGCAGTTTGCGGGATCACATTCCATCCTCCCCCACTCTTGGGTGACGGCATGAGAGGTTTCCCTTCCCCTGCAGTGATGTTCTCCTTCTCGAGCGCCGCCTTCCACCCTGATGCCCAACACTTGCCGCTGAGACCCCGCGCCGGCGCCAGCATAGGCAAAAATTTTGTTTTCCGCTCCACAGTGAAGCTAGTTTTCGTTTTCTTTACCTCCGCGTTGATAAAGCCAGCAGGCAAATCACCCCGGAAGTCAAGCTCGAAAGACAACAAGGAAACATGTTGGGCATCAGAATGACGTGCTCTAGCGAACACCATAAAGAGGACGAAGCCTGCCAGTACCACATCGAGGGCTGAGCGAGGTATATCGCCCGTGCAAATCAGCTCCAGCCTGATAACGTCCTTGACTCGAAGTGGCGGTCTCTGCTGCAATCGCCTGATGCCCAGGTACAGCTTTCTGGCGAGCCCTTTCACCCTCAGAGAATCAAGCGCCAACACTGCACTGTCGAGTCCCAACACGAAGCGGCCGAAAGCCAGCGAGGAAAGCACAGACTTGAAGAATGTTGCTGCTACCTGTGTCTGCATGTCGTAGAAGAACTTATACATGACCTCCTCTCTGATTGGGAAGGGCTCAATACCTTCCAGGTCACAGAAAGCCAGATATCTGATCATCGGACCTGCTCTCGTATGCAGAGTCGCAGTGCTCTTTGCAGCCAGAGCATTCGAAATACTCTCAAGAAGATCACCAGCACCGAGCCCCAACAAGCGGGCCCTCAAGAAATCACGAGACACAGCAAAGTCCCACGGCCCTCGCTCAATGATCTTAAGCCACTTAAATAAAGCAAAATTCTTCTCCTCAGTCTCCTTCGCGTCCCAAGAAACATGTTTTGTCCTTCTAGCAAACTTGGCACCCGCGGCATCGAGCCTGCTCTGCATCCTCGCCGCCTCAGGATGAGATGCTTCTCTCTCGGGAACTGCAGGCGGGAGCAATCTCTGCGGAGCCGGAAGCCCCGGCATGAACCTCTTCCTGGCGGACGCATCAGAGCAAATGCTGGCATCCCACGGCTGCCTGACTGAGAAGTGAGTAGCTGGGGTATCTCTGAGGGCACTCAAGAGGTGAAGATCAAAGGCGGAAGAGTGATCCGGGGCACCCTGGGCACCCCTTTTAGCACTACGGCGCCCCGACATCACGTAGGCCCCGAGCACACCCGAAGCTCAAGAAAACTCAAATGAAGCGGCGAAAGAGTTGCCGCAAGTGTGCAATGAACTGCTCAAGCCAAGAGATGCGAGCAGCAGAATGAGTATGCTGCTCCTCCAGCCAAGCAAGGCGATCCTCGGCCACACGGACGCGTGAATGAAGCAGATCGTGGGCCACCTGCAAAGTATGAAGGTGGCTGGATACAGCCTCGAGAGTGTCGAGGCTACTAGGATGCTCTGACTCAGCGGGAGAAGCAGAGCGGCCCGAGGCCATCCGGCTGCCCCACGCGGGCAGCACTGCACAGAGGGCTAGGCCCAACCTCGTCTTAGCACCTCGGGCCTGCTAGGAAGCAATACAGGCCCCTAGAGAGCCCAAAATAAATTTCGCAGTCTTGAGCTCTAACTCCGAGCCAAGACTTTGCAGCATAACCTTGTTCAAATCTCGTGCGGCATGTGAAACGTGAAACATATTTCAAGTAGTTGAAAATCCAAAATCAGCAGTTTTTCTGTACTTCCAGAAAAACCAAAAGCGCCTACAAATCGTAAAGCGAAATCATGCAAGCATGAGTTGAAGCTTGATGAGCTGGAAGATTTGCATGACATGCGAGGCCAGTCACAACGACGTACTTTGGCTCGCCTGTGTGCCTGGCTGATGTCCGCGCAAAGCGAGAAAGGGGCCTCCTTCCCTTCCTTCACCCGCGCTGCCACTTCCTGCAAATCCTCGGGCCCTGGTACTTGAAGCTTATCATTAATGACAATCTTGTTGTTAAGGTTGATTCCGTGAGTTCCGTCGTGAAGCGGCCTCACGTCCCCGTTCGCCTTCGTCACCGCTCCCATAGCGGCAATCAAAACTGCATCTTCACCAAACTCCCTTTTGGCCTCTGCCTCAGTTGTGCAGATCATGAGGCCTGCAAGCTCGTCTTCCCGGAATTTCTTTTCAAGCTGTTCAGAGTTAAGCTCGGCAGATTTGTAGTTAACCATAGAAGGATCAAACTCGGAAGCGTCCAACTTACGGAAGACGGTGCGCCTGGGAAACACCTGAGGAACACGGGGGAGGGGCTTATCCCATCCTAATGGAACTCCCTCGGCAAATGACTCGGGTCCCTGATCTAAGATTGCGAAGTCCGGGTCGCCGAGGATCTCAAGTGATTGAGAGAGGAGGTGGAGCGAGAAAGGCTGCCCCTTCGGAACCTGCATTGCCAGCTCACTGTCTGGAAGAAGCTTTGAAATGTCCGTGCGCACCTGGTTCACGAGCGACTGCTGACATGGTGAATTGGGCAAACGGCCCGTCGCAAGAAGGAACGATGCTTTTCGCAAATCGGGGATACTAGAACGAACAGCTGCAGCAAGGATGTCCCGTACCGAAGCAGCATGGTTCCATTCGGCTGAGCTCGATAAGGCGTTGCGTGCGATGGGTCTCCACCTTCCTGGCGAGCACAGACCGAACCCGTCAATGAGTTCCCTCCATGAAGCTGAATGCCTACACTTGATTGCGGGGCCGCGACATCTGCTTGTAGCCGGATCAAATGCAGAACTGTCATGATCCTCCTCCTCCTCCTCCTCGTCTTGTTGGTTGTCGTTACCAGGTGCCTGTTGGATGGTCCCTCCAACAGGGGTGCTAGAGGAGGCCTCAGGAGTGGTCCCTTCCTGAGGGGTGCTACAAAGAACGGGGCCCCCAGCAACGGCTGTTGTTGGGGGGGTGCTAACATCGGGATCCTCCTGGGTTAAATCCACAGTGCCGCCGTCGGTGATCTCTTCCCCCCGCTGCGACAGCAAGAGCGCTGATGGCGGCAGAATGAAACCAAGCTCGCATAAGGTACTGCGGCGGCTTGCAGATAAGCTGGATGTATGCACGGAGAATCCAACCAAGAGCAACCTGTCACCTTGCCAAGGTTCCGTGCAATGGAAGGCGGTGTGGGCAGGCAATCTTTGTGGAGTAGTTGCAACATCAAGCAAAACGCCAGGTCGAGAGACACCTTTGACCAACCTAAGGACATCTCCGGACGACCGTTCGCACCAAACCGCGCCGCCTGTAAACTCCGAAAGTGCAACAAGCAAATTGTCGAAAGGTGCGTTATGGCAGTCTTTATGCATTGGCGCACAATGGTTGTGGAAAACAGCTAGTGAAGAAAAGACCTCACCGGGGAATGCCTGGCGAATGAGGGCCGTAAGACATCGAAGAGTCAAAGGGTAATCACTGCAACTGCGACGGAGGCCCGTGAGGCCGCCCTTGCAATATGCTCCGCCAAAGAAAGCACGCCCTGGCGTTTCACTAGAAATCTGAGGAGTGGACGCTGCGGGGTGAGGTGCCTCGAATGGGACAAGGCGAGCAAGTGCTTCGCCATCGTGGGGTTCAAGCTGCCGTCCCTGCTTCAACAAGCAATCTGCGAAATGTTCTGCACCCTGAAAAGAAGAATCAGTGGCCCGAAAGTTGCGAAGGAAGCCCTCAGAGAGAGCGGCCACATGTTCCAGAAATGCATGCGGGAATGCCACTGATGTGGCCCACTTGTGTTGTTCTCGACCTGCACCAGCCTTATGTTGATGTGAGCACCGAGTCAGGGGCCCGACATAAAAGCCTTGATCATCAAAAGATGGCCAAGCGATGCTAGCTGGTGCACCTGACATGTTGGTTGCAATGCGTGTTGGATGTGCATTATCTGAACCATATGAGCACAAGTGCACTGCCCAAGTGGAGCAGGTAGCTGATGCATCACAGCAAGCTCTGACCTCAGCCCACTGCCATAAACTCGCGGGGTCGCCGCCGCAACGAAGCTTCCCTAGGTCCTCTGGGTGGATCAGAATCCATCCTGTGTTATGTTGATTGCACAACGTTGCTGCGCAGATGCACTGTTTGCAAATGTAGTTCTCAAGGTCAACGTCAAGGCGGAACCTATCCGCTAACCAAGGAAACCCAAAAGGAAAAGAAGACGACCGCACAGGGACCGGCCCTGAGCGCTGTGAATTCAGCCGATGCCTTGCACGACTGAAGGTACTGCATGGTGGAAACATGAAAATGGCATCCCAGGATCCCAAGCGAATCCCAGTGAAGACGTCATCCCAGGAAGCGGCCTTAGACCAAGTCCCGAAATGAGATCCGTCCTGAGTCAAGAAGTCGGCCTCCAGCTGGCTTCCCAAGCGCATTGATAAATTCTGTAGGCAGCCGTGTATGTCACTGTTGATGCCCATGTCAAGTGAAACAACCAAGACCTTTAGTCAGTTTTTCTGCTCGTCGGTCTTCTTACCGGAAGCGTGATGCTGCTGCCAGTGCTGCCAAGTGGGATGGGGCCCATGACATCCCTTGACCATGCAGCAATGTACCATGCCGCAATTGCCATCACACCCTGGTCCAGAGTAATCGAAGCAAATCCACCGGCCGTCCGGTGTCCGAGTCGTTGTTGAGCTCTCTCGCTTTCCTTTTCCGTCCTTGCCTTTCTTTCCATTTTCCTTGCCCTTCTTCCCTTTGTTGTTCTTGTCCCCGGTCTTCCCGAAGTTTTGATTCTTCCCCTGCCATGTGTCCTTGAACCACTTGGATTCGCTTCCAGTCTCCCAAAGATCACCTGCGCGCTTTCCTCTGCTCTGCAACGCAATGGGCGATGTGAAGAACTGCTCTTTAAGCTGCGAGTCCTCTGTGACCTCTTTCAAGCAATCGCGGAGGGGCCTGGAATCACGAAATGCACGTTTCACCGCCTCCTTCCTGAGTTCGTACTCATAGTTGAGAAGGACCACCCAAGGTGGTCGCAAAGGTGTTTGATCCATCTTTCCATTCCCCTTTCCATTGTTCACTGGGACTTGCATAAGATAGACCTTCTCGCCGAGGAGGTAGTTGACAAAGCTCGACCAAGCATCTGGCCCCATGTTCTGAAAGAAGACCTTGTTCTTGTACTTTGATGCCAAGAATGTCCACATGTTCCCCTCCACTCGGAGGACCGTCCTCAACTCTTCAGTGTGTGTTGGCATGACCCCTTTGTTCCGTTGCTTTACGATACGAACATGCCCACCTGAGTCCACTGTTGTCTGGATCCCCATGGTGCGAACACGCTTCTTCGAAGTCACCTCCGAAAGAGCGCTGGCGGTGAGTTCCCCGTTCTCGACCTCTTCAAGCTTCGCTGAAATGTAATCATCTGAGGGCTCGAAGGCTTCTTCCAGCTGTCCATGGGCAGCCTCGAACGCCAATCTCATCGCCTGCTTTTCAGTTTGTGTCACTGGACGACTCACGCCAAGCATCCGAGCTTCCGCACGGAGTTCTGACTCCTTCGAAGCGAACTCCTTCGCCGTCTCCCAGGCCGATACCACCGCTGCGATGGTGGCGCGAGTACCTTGGTTGGTGGCCTCCAATGTATGATCATCCTTCAAGGCAGTGCGAACTTCAGCGCGGGAATCAGCGTAAGTCGAGAACCTCTTCACTGACCTGAAATTCTGTGCTAGCTTGTATTGCAAGCCGAGAGGTACCCCACACTCTTGAAAAATGTGCACGAGGTCGGCAGTCACCTCCTTGTCTAGAAAATCCAGCGCAACTTGCTCCGTGACCCCTGCCGGTAAATCTGCAGCCATTGCAGCCCGTCCTACTAGATGCGAAGAGAGCTCCCCTTAGAGCCAGCGCCTCCTGGCCATGCCCGAAACGTAGCACATCACAAAAGAACACGGTTGCACTCCAGCCGGCACTAAGCAGGGCAATTCGGATCAAGCTCCCAGGCACATTCCTTCCGTGCCGCTGTCACAGGTTGTCTATTAAGAACGATGCCCTCCTCCTGGCAAAGTTCGAAATTTCACGATGCGTTCCATCCAGCATCGATCCACCTAGGGTGTACGTACTCTGATGCTCTCCTTCCGGCATCACACCTTTCTCATGTGCCACTCAAAGAAGGGGGATCTTTTGTGCACTTCAAGCTCAGCAGCTGTTTGATGTCAGAGCTCCTATCCAAGGCCCGTGGGCGCCTCCGGCCCTCCCTCCGAGGCCGTATCATCAGACCCACTGCTAGAGGACGCCTCTGCAAGACTCTCTCTAGGCTTGCAAATTTTGCACATGGCATCGGCTATCCCTTCAGCCAACGCATAAACGGGGATCGTCTCCAAGCAGCGTTCACGCCGAACTGCACACGACTTGGAGACATGAAGCCTGCGATATCCCCTCCTCGAAACAGTGATAACGTACGGGGCTTCATCCTGGTCATCTCCTTCTTCGAAGTCCCTGTAAGGTCCGGGCGGTGATGCATTGATGTTCCCGGCTGAAGCACTAACGAGCTCAGGCCCCACACTGAAGCAGGGAAAAACACC